ATACCTGATTGATTCTGTCAGCGCTATATGCTCAGTTTAAAGATTAAGCCATGCATGTCGAGTTCATCTCAAGAGAAACTGCGAACGGCTCATTAGAGCAGATGTCACTTATTCGGAAAGTCCTATTGGATAACTGCGGCAATTCTGGAGCTAATACATGCAAATAAACCCTGACTTTCGAAAGGGTGCAATTATTAGAGCAAATCAATCATCTTCGGATGTAGTTTGCTGACTCTAAATAACGCTGCATATCGGCGGCTTGTCCGCCGATATTCCGAAAAAGTGTCTGCCCTATCAACCTGATGGTAGTCTATTAGTCTACCATGGTTATTACGGGTAACGGAGAATAAGGGTTCGACTCCGGAGAGGGAGCCTTAGAAACGGCTACCACATCCAAGGAAGGCAGCAGGCGCGTAACTTATCCACTCTTAAAGAGATGAGATAGTGACTAAAAATAAAAAGACCATTCCTATGGAACGGTCATTTCAATGAGTTGATCATAAACCTCTTTTCGAGGATCAAGTGGAGGGCAAGTCTGGTGCCAGCAGCCGCGGTAATTCCAGCTCCACTAGTGTAAATCGTCATTGCTGCGGTTAAAAAGCTCGTAGTTGGATCTGAGTCACATGCAGTGGTTCGCCTTTGGCGTTAATTGCTGTTGTGACTATTTGCTGGTTTTCTACTTAAGTTTCGGCTTTTGTAGTGGCTAGCGAGTTTACTTTGAATAAATTAAAGTGCTCAAAACAAGCGTTTGCTTGAATGCTCGATCATGGAATAATAAAAGAGGACTTCGGTTCTATTTATTGGTTCAAGAACTGAAATAATGGTTAAGAGGGACAATTCGGGGGCATTCGTATCCCTGCGCGAGAGGTGAAATTCGTGGACCGCAGGGGGACGCCCTAAAGCGAAAGCATTTGCCAAGAATGTCTTCATTAATCAAGAACGAAAGTCAGAGGTTCGAAGGCGATTAGATACCGCCCTAGTTCTGACCGTAAACTATGCCATCTAGCGATCCGATGGGGTATTGTTGCCTTGTCGAGGAGCTTCCCGGAAACGAAAGTCTTTCGGTTCCTGGGGTAGTATGGTTGCAAAGCTGAAACTTAAAGAAATTGACGGAATGGCACCACCAGGAGTGGAGCCTGCGGCTTAATTTGACTCAACACGGGAAAACTCACCCGGCCCGGACACCGTAAGGATTGACAGATTGAAAGCTCTTTCTCGATTTGGTGGTTGGTGGTGCATGGCCGTTCTTAGTTGGTGGAGCGATTTGTCTGGTTTATTCCGATAACGAGCGAGACTCTAGCCTGCTAAATAGTGGCTGGATTTTTACGTCCAGTCTACTTCTTAGAGGGATAAGCGGTGTTTAGCCGCACGAGATTGAGCGATAACAGGTCTGTGATGCCCTTAGATGTCCGGGGCTGCACGCGCGCTACAATGGAAGAATCAGCTGGCCTATCCATTGCCGAAAGGCATTGGTAAACCGTTGAAACTCTTCCGTGACCGGGATAGGGAATTGTAATTATTTCCCTTGAACGAGGAATTCCTAGTAAGTGTGAGTCATCAGCTCACGCTGATTACGTCCCTGCCATTTGTACACACCGCCCGTCGCTGTCCGGGACTGAGCTGTCTCGAGAGGACTGCGGACTGCTGTATCGAGGCCTTCGGGTCGCGTTATGGCGGGAAACAGTTCAATCGCAATGGCTTGAACCGGGTAAAAGTCGTAACAAGGTATCTGTAGGTGAACCTGCAGATGGATCATCGTCGAAACCACAGGGTATGGTTCCTTTGATCATGAGAAACCAACGTGCTTGCTCTTCACGACTTTGTCGGGAAGGTTGGTAGTATCGCCCCCCTTTACAGCCCTTCGTAAGGTGTCTATGTACAGTTTGAGTCGTTACTGGGTGGCGGCCGTGATTACTGTACGAGTTCGCATTTTGCTGAGCTTTAGACTTGATGAGCATTGCTGGAATGCCGCCTTACTGTTTGTTTTGGTGGTTAGGCACAGCGGTAACGCTTAGTGCGACACCTGGTTGTCAGGCAATCTTAATGATCCGTTTATGCGGACGCCAAAGCAGACGCTAACTTTTTATGTTTGAATTTTGCAGAACTGTGACTTTGAGTCACAATCGACTAGCTTCAGCGATGGATCGGTCGATTCGCGTATCGATGAAAAACGCAGCAAGCTGCGTTATTTACCACGAATTGCAGACACTTAGAGTGGTAAAATTTTGAACGCATAGCGCCGTTGGGTTTTCCCTTCGGCACGTCTGGTTCAGGGTTGTTTATAAATACTACAATGTGGCCTGTTACATTGTTTGTCGAATGGCGCTTGCATTCATTTGCGATCCCCATTCTAGAAAAGAAGCATATTGCAACATGTATGTTAGCCATGCCTTAAAAACAGAAGTGAATGCGCTGTTACCGCTAGATCGTTTAATGCCTGTTAACGATTTAGTGGGGCCTGATGACAGCGCTTCGTTATCTGATTTGGCTATGGCTAACTACACAGAATGACATATATTCGTTGTCACTGTTGACGTGTTTACCGCCTATTAACATTTCAGCAGTGCCTGTATGACAACGTTCTATATTGTCATTTGCAATGCAACCTGAGCTCAGGCGTGACTACCCGCTGAACTTAAGCATATCATTTAGCGGAGGAAAAGAAACTAGCAAGGATTCCCTTAGTAACGGCGAGTGAACGGGGAGGAGCCCAGCGCTGAATCTCTCGGTGTTATGCCGTTGAGAAGTGTAGCGTATAGGTGTGGCTTTCAGTTTGTGCTGCATGTCCAAAGTCCCTTTGATAGGGGCCACATTCCCGAGAGGGTGCGAGACCTGTGCGGACAGTGGAGCAAGCTGTATGGTCATATCTTGGAGTCGGGTTGCTTGAAAGTGCAGCCTAAAGTGGGTGATAAACTTCATCTAAGGCTAAATATAGACGCGAATTCGATAGCAAACAAGTACTGTGAAGGAAAGTTGCAAAGAACTTTGAAGAGAGAGTTCAAGAGAACGTGAAATCGCTGGAGTGGAACCGGAGAGAGTTGACGTAGTCGGGTAACTAAGTTTGCCAAAATCGCTTAATTGTGGTGGCGGCGGATGTATGTTGCCTATGGCTGCGCTGACAGCACTGGCTGTGCGTTCCGAACCGTTTGCGTTGCCCACTTCGGTGGTGTCTTGCTTGCGGGTAGGTTTGTCGTGGCTAGTGTTTTATCCTGCTTTGCAGGGTGTCAGTGTGAAAGTCGACCACCTCTCCGACCCGTCTTGAAACACGGACCGAGAAGTGTAACTTGTACGCGAGTCAAAGGGTGGAAAACCCCATGGCGAAATGAAAGTAAAGGTCGGTTAACCGGCTGACATGGGATCCGCCTTTCGAGGCGGCGCACCATGGCCCTGTCTTGTCTGCTCGCAGATGGGCAGCGGTAGAGCGTACAGGTTGCGACCCGAAAGATGGTGAACTATGCCTGAGCAGGACGAAGTCAGAGGAAACTCTGATGGAAGTCCGTATCGGTTCTGACGTGCAAATCGATCGATAGACTTGGGTATAGGGGCGAAAGACTAATCGAAAAATCTAGTAGCTGGTTCCCTCCGAAGTTTCCCCCAGGATAGCTGGAGTTCATTGCGGTTATATCCGGTAAAGCGAATGATTAGAGGACTTGGGGTCGAAACGACCTCAACCTATTCTCAAACTTTCAATGGGTATGTTGTCTCGGTTTCTTTGTTGAACTGTTGACACGAACGCGAGCTCCAAGTGGGCCATTTTTGGTAAGCAGAACTGGCGCTGTGGGATGAACCAAACGTTGGGTTAAGGTGCCTAACTTCTCGCTCATGAGACCCCATAAAAGGCGTTGGTTGATATAGACAGCAGGACGGTGGCCATGGAAGTCGGTACCCGCTAAGGAGTGTGTAACAACTCACCTGCCGAATCAACTAGCCCTGAAAATGGATGGCGCTTGAGCGAGAGACCCATACCCAGCCGTTGCTGGCTTGTGCGTTGTCTAACGCCTGGCCGCAACGAGTAGGAGGGTCGTGGCGGTTGCGTCGAAGGCTTTGGGCGTAGGCCCAGCTGGAGCTTCCGTCAGTGCAGATCTCGGTGGTAGTAGCAAATATTTAAGTTCGATCCTTGAAGACTGAAGTGGAGAAGGGTTCCACGTGAACAGTAGTTGAATGTGGGTCAGTCGATCCTAAGATACTGGCTTATGCCTTGTATCATTGAGAGGGAAAAGTTTCTTTTCTCTCGGATATCAAAAGGGAATAGGGTTAATATTCCCTAACGCAGACACAGAGATTGCGGCTCTTTGAGTCGCTTGCGCGGTAACGCATTCGAACTCTGTTACGTCGCTCAGAGACCGAGCTAGAGTTCTCTTCTCTAGTTAAGGAACGGACTCCCTGGAATCGGTTCAGCCGTAGATAGGGAGGTTGTTTCCGTAAAGCATCGCGGTTTCTGTGATGTCTCGTGTTCTCTGGACGGCCCTTGAAAAACCAAGGAAGGCTATTAATCTGTGCTGCATCGTACCGATATCCGCATCAGGTCTCCAAGGTGAACAGCCTCTAGTCGATAGAATAATGTAGGTAAGGGAAGTCGGCAAATTAGATCCGTAACTTCGGGAAAAGGATTGGCTCCAGTGACCGGGTCGGTTGGCCTGTTAACTGATGCTTGTGCGGTTTCGTCCGTGGCTGGCAGACGCTCACGCTGAAGCTGGACTAGTGACAAGACTGCCTTGTGGACGTTTTCAGGTGTGTGCTTTGTCTTCGGGCTTAGTATCCTGACCGACCATCAAAACGGTCGAACTGGAACTGGTACGGACTCGGGGAATCCGACTGTCTAATTAAAACAGAGGAGACAGATGGTCCTTGCGGACGTTTACTGTCTCTGATTTCTGCCCAGTGCTCTGAATGTTAAATCGTAGTAATTCGAGTAAGCGCGGGTAAACGGCGGGAGTAACTATGACTCTCTTAAGGTAGCCAAATGCCTCGTCAGCTAACTACTGACGCGCATGGTCACGATGTTCTCTACCCCCGAACGGTGTGACCGGGCAACGTCTGAGTGCGCTACCACCAGACGGCTAAGCGAGAACATGCGAACTGGGCAAGTTAGTACTGTGTCTAATAGCTGCCCTGGCGTAACAGGGTCGAGCGAACACAGTGAAGTGGCCCAGCAGTCCTCTTTAGGACTACCTGTATCCAGCCTCCTTCCCCATGATTCCCAATATGAGCCTTGCGCTCGAAGGGATAGGGAAGCGAGGAAAAGGCGGTGGCTCGCTTGCGAGTTACTGCAACTAGACCACCTAGTGAAAAGGTTCCGTCGAAACGACGGGAGAATACAGTGGGCTCCCCTGGCAGCAGCCTGGGAATGCTCCAACGACTCTGAGGGCCGCCCTCTCCAGCGCACCGTACCGGCCTTAAAGGCCGCGTACGCGAAGCTGGTGAAGCGGTCGGCGGTGGCTAGAATACCGCCAACTCAACCTGAAACTGAAGAAGTCCCCGAGCATGCCGAGGAAGGAGAAATCCAGACTCGTACGGGGACAATGGAAATTGACGGAGTTCCCGAACAAGGGACTAGCAGACCCACGGCTGAAACTGTAGAAACTTCTGAACAGCCTGATCTCCGAACGCTAGTTTTTCGGAAGTTCAGAAGATTCCACCACTTAGCGAGATCCTCGCCCAACAGAGCTCCTATCAGAAAGCCACTGGGAGAAATCCCACAGGCGCTGCTAGAAATAGGTTCTAGGATCCTGGCACAGCATGTGCCGGACATGAACTCCAAAGGTTTCAAGTACCTGACCAGACTGAACGCGGCAGTCTATGCAATAGGGAGAGCTATTGTAGCTGTGGCTGACAGTCTGGAGGAGGGCACGGAAAACCCGAGGAGGGCTCTGAAGGACGCAGAGGAAATCCGACATACCCTGATTGCGACTATATCGACTCTTGTGAATAACCTTGCGGAGCGAAAAAGACGCGTCAGACGGAAGCAACCCTGGTACCCTACCAGGGCCTTCCTGAGCTTGGTACGCATCTATAAACTCCGTAAGAGGTGCGATACCTATGCCCTCGTAAGAGAGCTTAAGGATCGCCTTAGGCATACCCAGTCGGACATCCAAGTGCTGAAAAACGCTCTGCGACGGCGGAAGATCCGACGCGGAGGGTACCCGGCTGTAATCCGATCGAGCTCCAATCCCACTGTGGAAATACCAGCAGAAGCGGTTCGCGACTACTGGGAAAACATAGTGGGCAGGAGGAAACCCTTTGAAGTAAGCTATGAGCTGAAACAATGGGCTCGGTCAGTAGGCAGTCGGGGTGCACCGGATAGGGCAGCGCCAACTCGGGCTCAGTGGCGGGATGTGTTCCGCGCCGTCAAGCCCTGGAAGGCTGCAGGCCCTGATGGCATTCCCGGTTTCTTCTGGAAGCATCTTCCTGCAGCAAGGGATGGCTTGATTAAATGGTGTCGAAAGACACTATGGAATCCCTGGAAGATGATTCCGCCCTGGCTATGTAGGGGGAGAACCGTGTTACTGCCGAAAAAGATAGAGGACCAGCGCCTACGTGGGCCTGGCGACTATCGTCCGATTGCATGCCTTAATACCTGCTACAAAATCTTGACAGCAGGAATGTCAAAGTGCATCTCCCAAGTAGTAGGCGACCGGTTCCCCCTGGAGCAGGTAGCTTTGCGAAAGGGAGTTTGGGGTTGTACCCATGCACAAATGTTGGATCAAACCGTTATCCGGGACGCCCTGTGGCATAAGAACGAACTACACATGCTGTGGGTGGACTTCACCAAGGCGTATGACTCATTGTCTCAGAAGGCCATCTTATGGTCTCTAGAGCAGTGGGGAGTACCCTTGAACCTACGGCGAGTGTTGCGAGTAATTATGTCAAAGCAGGAAGTTAGGTTCTGTGGTAAGCATGCCGGCAAAACCATTGTGAGTAAACCCTTGAGAATCAGGGAAGGCCTGATGCAAGGCGATACTCTCAGCCCGCTACTGTTTTGCCTGACCATAGCTCCTATATCAGCCTGGTTAAGACGCTGGATCCGTCCCTATCAGACGACTACTGGGTCAGGTCCCAGTAGAGACGGCGCCCTTAAGATGAACCATATATTTTATATGGACGATCTTAAGGTCTACGCCAACAATTGGGAGGATCTAGTAACAGCCAGAGGTGGCGTCATAAGGATAGCGAGGTCACTCGGGTTGGAGCTCAATGCACGGAAGTGCGCTCTAAGGAGTCTGAACTGCGCGGGTTCACCGCCAGGGAGGACACGCATGCTGGATTCCATTCCGATCCTTGGAGCTTCGGAGTTCTACAAATACCTGGGTGCTGAGCAGAACTCACTTGTCTGTGTCTCCGAATTGTTCAATCGCGTTGAGGAAAGCGCGAAGGCTGCGGCGCGTACCTTGTTCCATAGCGAACTGACAGTTGGTCAGAAGGTTATGGGGTACAACATGGTCGTGATTCCAAAGCTGAAGTACGCCTACTCATGCATTGTTTTCGGAGCCGGCAAGTTGA